GGCGCGGGGCTCGGGGTCGCGGTCCCTCGGGCCGCGGCCCTCCAGACTGCGGCCGGAGGAGGTCTAGTGCGCCTAGAACTTTCTCGCACATGATGACACCACTGTGGTTACCACCCTTTGTTCTTTTCTTCCCTGGAAATCACTCCCCTGACTACTCCCCTTGGTTGGACTCAGACTTTTCGGCGGCAGCCCCGACACCATTAATACTTTTAATTGTATTGCAACGATCTCGTTGGCAATTCTCAGGCTAGGCTAGGTGACTAATGTCAACATCAGCCACCTTCTCTCCTCCAACTTGTTACTTCAGGGCATTGCTCCAAAAGAGCGGCGGAGTGAAGGAAATGCTGCTTAAAACGTCCTTTCACTCCAAACTCCATGCTATCCAGCTCTTTCTCCCTGCATGCTCACTTCAGATTCTTCTGCTGTACCAGCAGCTGCTTTGTGGGCAGGACTGTGGTGGGAACCACGCGCTGCTCATTCTCTAGTCTCCTCTTATTTGCTGTCTAGCATGTGACTATGCTTTTCAGAATGTGCATAGCACATCAGGCATTTCACTATCAGGCTGAGAGCCATAAACATGCAAGCCGTCAACATGTCAGTAAGCAGGAGCTCAGTGCCTGCATATAGTGTTGAAGTTAATGTGTAATAAAACCGGAGCAATGCTGCTTAATACTGGGCTATTGTCACTATCACCAGTAGTGTCACCACAGTGCTTTACATTATTCTATTTGTTGATCGGTAGTTTGGTAAGTAGCGTTAACAGCACTCAATGCTGTCAGCAGCAGCTTTTCTTGTTTGATGCTGTTTGGGAGCATTAGCCATCTGCACAATGCAGTTCAGGTTTTCCTCCAAGCATGATGAATTTTACACTCTAGCAGAAATACCTGCATGTGCATGTTTGTCATGAGTTAGAAAGTTTTGGTGGACTTGGGAGTCAATTAGTATGTGATTCCAACATATATATGTGGGGAATTACATCTCTCTAAACAAACTTTTGGAAATAAACCACATTCCCACATCTCTAAAAGAAGAATACTTCATCTAGACTATGTTTTTTTTTCTAAACCTGTGTGTGTGTGTGTGTGTGTGTGTGTGTGTGTGTGTATAGGTGATGGTGGTGGTGGTGGTGGTATAGGGTTAGATTTCAGAGCCTTTCCTTGACAAGGTCCACTTGAGATATGCCTCTAGCCCCTAAAGACCAAAAGTAATTTTAAAAAATTCTTTCATTGAAGGAATCTTTAATGGGTATCAATATGTACAACATACCTCTGGGTGATAGAGAAGACATCAGAAGTTGTCCCTCCCTTAAAGAGCTTATAATTTAGAAGGACAAGATATATATAAAAATGAAATTGTTATGGTACAATGCATGACATGGGTAAACAGCAAATAGATTTTTGCAGGATCATCAACATATTTGAGCTCAATTTTTTTTTCTGACAATACTAGGAATTTAACCCAGAGTCTCTCAAATACCAGACAAGATCTCTACCACTAAGCTACATCCCTAACCCCTTTAAGGTGATTAATAACTTGTCACTTCATAGGGCAGAGTAGCAGCAGCAATACAGAGGCTGATATGTCTTGAACCTGCAGGTATAAAGATTAAAGAAGTGAAGTTTGAGACATATTGGGATTAGGTATATAGACAAGTAAAAGGAGCTGGCAGCTGGGCACTGGCACCTCATACTTGTCATCCTGAGATCTGTCAAGCTGAGATCTGGGCACTGGTGGCTCACACCTGTCATCCTAACTGCTCAGGAGGCTGAGATCTGGGCACTGGTGGCTCATACCTGTCATCCTAACTGCTCAGGAAGCTGAGATCTGAGGATTTTGGTTCCAAGCCAGGCCTGGTGAAAAGGTCCATCAGACTCTTATGTTCATTTAACCAGCAAAAAGCCAGAAGTGGCATTGTGGCTCAAGTGGCAGAGTGCTAGACTTGAGCAAAGAAGCTAAAGAGAAACTTGGTCCTGAGTAGAGGCACATGTTCAGACACACACACACATACGCACAGGATCTAGAAGATAATATGGGTGATTTTACGAGCCATTCTAGGGAGTCTGAAAGTTAACCTATAGACATCATAGGACCTTAAGTTGAGAAATAACAGGATCAGTTCTATATTTTCAAAAGATAACTGCTCATGTTATGTGTTATGAGAAAAATGTGAATTAAATCAACAGCGTGATATAATCAGTATTATGTGTAATTAGTGTTATGTGATGAATTGGGATGTATAAAATCCACATTAAAATTCAAAATGCTAATGAGGATGTAGAGTGACAGAACTCTAGCTCTTTGCTGGTTGTAGGCACTTAAGAGTATTGTCTGGACACTTCCTAAAAATTCCAGCAGCTGCTTTGCATTCCTTGGGATCTTTCCAAATAGTTGAAAATATATTTTCTCTTTTTGCCCTACCCATTTTTGAGGAGCTACTGGTGATCAAACTCAGGACCTTGAGTTTGCTTGGAAGTCAGCAGGAGCTAACTGCATCCCACTAAGTCTAAACATACCTTAGCTCACAGCCTGGCACTCACACTGAACACCTTGGGACTTACCCAAATGGTCATTTTGTCTTTTCTCTCTTCTTCCCTCTGTTTTTGGTGGTCCTGATGATAGAACTCAGGGCTTTGTGTGTGTTAAGACAAGTGCTCTATCACTTGAGCCACACCTAGTTAGAAACTTATATCCACATATAAAACCTGAATACAGGGTCAATAGCAGTTTTGTTCATAATTGTCGGAAGTCAGAAATATTCTTGATACCCATCCCAGCAAATGGGATCCAGACAGGGAATACAGTTCAGCACTAAAAAGACAGCCATGAAACAACATGGAAGGAATCCTAAGTGTATGTTACAGAATGAGAGAAACCACTTTGAAAAGGCTGCATGTCATATGACTTCAACCATATGACATTAAAACAATCAGTAGTTAACAGGAAACAGCTTGAAGGGTGCAATAAACAGAACACAGAAGGATTTTAGGGAAGTGAATCTGCACTGATCTTTTATACATTTGTCTAGTCCTATAGATTCACAGCACCAAGAGGAAGCCCTATGTAAACTATAGACTGGGTGATTATTATGTATAGGTTCACCATTTGTAACAAAAGTGCAATGCTGGTGCAGGATCCAGCTAGGACTAGAAGGGAGGGGAGGGGCCTAATGGGACTTTGTCCTCAGTTTTGCTGAGAACTTGTCCATTTGAAAGGAAACAGACTCATTCTTGTCTTTAACTTAGATTCATTTCCCTCATTGGTAAATTTTCTCTGCAATGATTTCTGAAGAGTAAAATAATTTTAGAGCTTAATGTGACCTCTTCCTCTACTCCAACCTAAATAATAGAGAATAAAATAATTACCAAACAATATGATAAATTGATACCATCATCCAGTTTCTTTCCAAGGCCAGGCTCTGCCCATGGCTCACACCTGTAATCCTAACTGCTCAGGAGGCTGAGGTCCGAGAACTGTGGTTTGAAGGGAGGAAAAGTCCATGAGACTCATCTCCAATTAACCACAAAAAGCCAAAAGTGGAGCTGTGCTTCAAGTGATAGAGCACTAGACTTGAGCAAAATAGATGAGGGAGAGAGACTTGGTCCTGAGTTCAAGCCTCAGTATGGGCACACAAAAAATAAGTTTCTTTCCAAAAGTAAAATAGAAAAAGCAAAAAGTTGATTGGAAGAGTGAAGCAAGGATCGTAACAAGGTTTGGAAATTACTAAATTCAGAGCTACAAGCTCTGAAACTAAGTTGTAATCAGTGTGAATGGGGAAAACGAGAGACTATAGAAATTCAAGAAGTTGTATTGTCAGGACTGGTTCATTTTAGATGTGATGGGTGCTTGTGGGATGGAATCCTAAGTGATTTGAATGATGAGATGGTAGAGGTACTGTTTAATAGATGAGGATTTGTGTGAAAGATGATTTGTTTGAATGTATTTCCAGTGTCCAAGTTTCAGATGTCTAAGGGACATTATTAAAGTTATTTAAATTATTGTTAACTATAATTGTTATTATTAACTGGAGTTATTATTACATTTTAAAGCCAGATATGGTGGTGCACACCTTCAATCCCAGCCATGGGAGGTTAGATGGGAGGATTAAGCATCAGAGGCCTGCCTGGGCCACATAGTGAGATCCTGTTTCAAAACAAGCAAATGAGTAAAAGCATTTCTATGAAAATAAAACTGACTTTAATGTTACTTTGTATTGTTTCGATAAGAAATTATGTATCAAAGCATTTGTTTTTGTGTCTTACACTTTCATAATAGTATCCCTTTTCTGTTCTCCTAGGCTTCCTTGTTGACATGCTTCTCCAACTCTGAAGCTTTACACGTCCTGAAATACAAAAGTTTACTCAGGTGCTGCTGGTGTGGCTCAGTGGGTGAGTGCAGTTCCCTAGGTTGGAGCACCAGCACTGGGGTGGGAATGGGGGTATGGCATTGTCCCACAACACTGTAAATACACTAAAAATGAATGAAGTGAATGTAAGACTTCAAATGAGCCAGGTGCTGGTGGCTCACGCCTATAATCCTACCTACTCAGGAGACTGAGATCTGAGGATGGAGGTTCAAAGCCAGCCCTGGCAGGAAAGACTGTGAGACTCTTATCGCAAATAAACCACCAGAAAACTGGAAGTGGCACTGTAGCTCAGGTGGTAGAGCACTTGCCTTGAGCTGAAGAGCTGAGGGACGGCGCCCAGGCCCAGAGTTCAAGCCCCATGACTGACAAAAAAAAAAAGACTTTAAATGAACACACAGTAGGTGAATTATATTTCAAGGAAGCTATTTTTAAGGAAGATACATATTTTCTGTCCTTATAGTCTTAAATTCAAGGCCCTTCTTTACAATTTTCATCAATTCATTGCAATTTAGCATTTCAATTATCCTTGTACTCTTTATTGCACACTTTTTATTTACCTTACTACTATTTGTTGAGTTTGTCTCTCATACTCATTAACCATTTGGTATGTTTATGAGTAAAGCTGGTCCAGCATATATTACCAAAGAAAGAAACCTAGTTTTAGATACCGTCTGCCAAGCCTGATGATGATTATTTAGTGAATCTGGTTTGTCTTTTTCTTTTTTTTGGTCAGTCATGGGGCTTAAACTCAGGTCTTGGGCACTGTTCCTGAATTGTGCTCAAGGCTAGTACTCTACCACTTTGAGCCACAGCTCCACTTCTGGTTTTTGGGTGGTTAATTGGAGATAAGAGTCTCACAGATTTTCCTGCCGGGGCTGGCTTCAAACAATATACTCAGATCTCATCCTCCTGAGTTGCTAGGTTACAGGTGTGTGCCGCTGGTGCCTGGCTTGTTAGTCTGTTTTTAAGGAACATATTAAGATGAATGCTTTTATGCAATGGGCCACAGATATAATGGTTGTAAAGTCATTATGATAAAGATACAGTATCTGTGGACCACAAATATAATAGTTGTAAAGTTACTATGCTTTATATGTTTTAGATAACATGATTTAGATATTTTGTATAAAAGATACACATGCATATTCCATACAATACTGATGTATTGAGTTTGTTTGAATATCATTAACAACAAAAGTATTTGATCAAGTATATTAGTAAATAATTTGATATTAAATAGAAAATTAAATATAAAAATATACCTGTTGTTCTACCATCTAGTATGGCAAGCAATTTAAAAGGCAAGTATGTGTGAAAAGTTCAGGATTCAACATAATTAAAAGCACTAAAAATGAATTCTGGGGCCATGGGAACTAACATGCACCAGAGTTATTCAGAAGTCTTCATGGAAGCAGGAGATTCTCAAATAGGCTTGTTAAAAAATTATTCTTGTTTTTTTTAGGTACAATACTCAAAACATGAACAACAATACATATTACCAATGTTCAAAGCTGATTCGGGTAAAACCAGGATACAGTTGCATACCCTCTATTCCAGAGGAATTAGAAAAGCCAAAGTAATGGATAACAGAAAAGAGCCTCCATTCTTCAATGAAGATAACGTGGAAGCATTTTACTACAAAATTCCTTTGTATGATACCATGGAGCTCTTCATTGAAACATTGACTGGAACATGTTTTGAGCTGAGAGTTTCACCCTTTGAAGCTGTTATTTCTGTGAAAGCAAAAATTCAAAGATTGGAAGGTACTAGTCTTCCTTTACTTTTAAGGCTATGAACATGGGGTTGGTTTGTTCAGATGTATAATAATTTTTAAAATTCTTTTTCATGGAGACAGTTTCAAACATATGACACTGAAAAAAATAGGCTAATAAACCCCCATGTTTTCCTTACCTTCCACGTTATCAGCTCATGAACTATTTCCTCTGTTCCTGGCTTGTTCCACTCTGCTCCTGTCCACTTTTTCTTCTTCTTCCTCCTCCTCCATTTCCTTCTCCTCCTCCTTTTTGTCTGTGTGTGTGTGTGTGTGTGTGTGTGTGTGTGTGTGTATGTGTGCCAGTGCTAGGGCTTGAAGTTAGGGCCTGCGTACTGTCCCTGAGCTTTTTCACTAAAGGCTAGCACTCTACTACTTGATCCACAGCTCCACTTCTGGCTTTTTTGGTAGTTAATTAGAGATAAGAGTCTCACAGACTTTCCTGCCTGACCTGGCTTCGAAATCATGATCCTCAGATCTCAGCTTCCTGAGTAGCTAGGATTACAGGTGTGAACTACCTGTGCACAGCTCTAGAGGTTTCTTTTGATTAACTTTTCTGGCACCATGTTAATGGTGTGAATATTTCAGAATGGTTTTCAGCATGATATTCAAGTCCTGACATCTTATATTTATTTTTATTTGGAAATAATTTTACTTCCTTTTAGTGACCAGCTTATGTTTTATACTACTTTTCAAGGCCTTGTTTGTTTATATCAAATGTGGTGGTGCTGGAGCTTGAACCCAGAGCTTCGTAGTTGTCAGACATATACTCTACTTGAGCTATGACCTAGCCCTTTGCTTTGGTTATTTTTTATTATTATAAAGGTGATACATACAGGGGTTATAGTTACATAAGTCAGGTGAAGAGTACATTTCTTTTTGGACAGTGTCGCCCCTTCTCTCACTCTCCCCCAGTTTTTCCCCTCCCATTCTCACCCACAAATTATATAGTTCATTTTTAACATAGTGTCTAAAGAGTACCACTATTGCCTCCATGTCTCTGCAGCTTTAGTAATTTTTGAGATAGGGCCTGAAATATTTGCCCAGGTAGACCTGAACCCCAATCCTCCTACTTAGGCTTCCCTTATGACCAGAATAGGTGTGTACCACTATACCCAGGTTTTTGTTATTGTTGTTGTTGATCTCCACCTCCTTAGTAGGCTTGGGAGATTTTCTGAAGTTGTTGGCTTACATTTACATAAATCCAAAGTTCCCTTACATAATAAGGATGCTGGATACTGTTGTAATATCTCCTTTGTGATTCGTGAATTTGTGAAAAGTGCTATAAGTTTATTTGTGTTCAAATTAAAGTGGTTTTTTTGTATTTTAGAGATTTCTGAAATAAATGGTATTTGTTGTTAAGGTCTGGTTTTGACCAAAAAATTAACTGTTTCACCATAATACTAAATAGATCTTTGCTGATGGAGTTGGCTGGAACTTCCTTGTACTTTATAGGTGGTAATTAGGATTATCATCCCGCCAATTTAAGAACGGAACTGTAGGGAGATGGTGGGACCATTGTAAGATCAAGTAACCTGGTATCTGAGCTTCTGAATATTTGTGAATTCCTCTGTCCTTGAGGATATTTTGAAGTTTGTGGCTGACTGAATCCAGTGACTACATTCAAACATTGATGTTGTTTTTGTCTACCAAATGGTATGAGATGTGCAATCCAATGAATATTTAGAATCTTTCTGCGTTTTTAGTTATATGATTGTATAATGCAGGAACATAAACCATCCCCTACAGATAACCCTTTTTTTCATTTCATGCAATTTAAATAATCTTTGTGTGGCAAGAAATATTTTAGAACCAGGCCCCAGTGGCTCACACCTGTATCCTTGCTACTCGGGAGGCTGAGTTCTGAGGACCATGGTTTGAAGACAGTCCAGTTAGGAAAGTCGCTGATACTTATTTCCAATAAACTACCAAAAACAAAAAACCCAGAAATGGAGTTATGGCTCAAAGTGATAGAGCCACTAGCCTTGTCCAATGGTCTCCCAAAGGGAGAGGCTGCAGATTCTATCATTTTAGGGATGAGAACTTCAATTTATGGATTAAAGAGGCACAGTGCAGTGTATAGTATCTACCACTGATGTTCCTTAGACCTTAATTCCTTCATAGTCCCCTTTCTCATCCTCACATCCCCTCCTATTCCTTTCCTACTTTCCTCCAGACCTTTGTGTGGAAGCAGTGATAGTCACTGTGTTCTGGAGAAGACTTAAAACATCCTGAAAAAAAAGTTTTAATCCTTCTCTGAAAGATCTTTATACTTCAACCATGGAAGTCACTTGGGAATCATTAGGAAAACTCTCCAAATTAGAAAATGGAATGGAGAGATCGGAGGTGACTATATTCTGGTTAATACTTTGTGTTGTTCAGTCACATGGCTTTCTTCTTAGGCAGCGTTTTGGTGTGTTCAGAACTAGAGCCTGGTGGAGGATGTAGAGGAGTTAAGGGCTATGTGGAGAAAAGGCTGATGGAGTTTAATGTGCCAGGAATGATCACACTGCAGCAACAGAAGGCTAGTGTCTTGAAGAGACAGGAGTATCAAAGCTACAATGCATAATTTCAGATTACTAACTGAGCATATTGCTTAATCTTTATTTTAGTTGTTCCAACTTAAAACAGAAGTGCTAAGAGTACTGGCCTCAAAGGGTGTTCTCAGGATTGTGAATTAATAAGCATAAGATGCTCACAAGGTTCCTGTATTCTCTGTCAGGGCAGTGGTTAGTCTGGGGCCTCATGTGCCCAAGAGAGTGAAGGCTGAACACCTAGGAAGAGATACAGCTGAATGCTGACTTCTGAGAGAAGGCATATTGTTGGAGTTTATCATTGCCTAGAGCAGTGCTGTGTAAAGGGGAATACTTGCCTTCCAAATGTGAAAGCAAGGCAATGGAATTGGGAAAGAAAATGTGCCAAGAAATGTAAAAACAAAAAAGTAAATAAAAGTATTTGTGCCAGCAGATTATTTGGACATGCCTTGTGGTCTTGGCATGGCTGCCCTTATCGTCTGTGAATGAGATCGGATCGCTTTCCTGACCACTTAGGAATTAGGGGACTGTTATTTGTTCTGGACAATTAACTATGAATGGAAAATTATTTCTGGGTATGGTGACTACTGCTTCAGCAACCTGGGTTCCCCAGGGACTGTAGTGAGCAGAGTCCCCTGCCGGCGTGAAGTGACGGGTAACACAGCAAGAAACCTTTGCTACTGGCTTTGGGAGGGGATGGCTTGCCATTTCAGCGTAAGGATCCTATTTTTTTTTTCTATTGCTGATCATTGGTTATCTAAATACCACTTATTGAATTAGCTGAGTTTTTTCTCACTAAAGTAATTTGATACCCATCCTGTATTAAATCATTATATATATAAACTATTACTATCATATATAATATGTAATATTTCTTTTTTTTCTTTTTTCTTTTTTTTTCTGGTTCCAGAGCTTGAACTCAGGTCCTGGGTGCTGTCTCTGAGCCTATTTGTGCCCAAAGCTAGTGCTCTACCACTTGAGCCACAGCACCAATTCCAGCTATTTCTGAGTTTATTGGAGATAAGTCTCACAGACTTTCTTGTCTGGGCTGGCTTCAAACCCCAATCCTCAGCTCTCAGCCTCCTAAGGAGCTAGAATTATTGGCATAAGCCACGAGCACCCAGCTTATATATCTTATATACTCTAGCTTATATATTATATATCTTATATGGTATATGTATATCTTATATATTAGCCAATCTGTGTGACTCTCCATATGTCGATGTTGCATCGTCTTTAGTTATTGATAGTCTATTAATGTTTTATTCAAAACAGTCTTATCTAAATAATTATCTAAATAATTCTGTTAGTCCAGAATTATTTTCTATAACTTTTCCTGTAAAATTATCTGGGCTTGACTAGTTCTAGGAATAGGAAAAGATGGGGAACATTTGTGTTTGTTCTTTTTGTGCCAGTATTGAGACTTGAACTCAGATCCTCAAGTACTTACTTGACTTTATTGCTCATGATGGCAATCTACCACTTAATCCAATGCCTATACTTCCATTTTTTTTTGGTTTTTTTGTTGTTTTTTTTTTGGTCAATTGGAGCTGCTAGTCTCACAGACTTTCCTGCTTGCTTTAGATCTCAATCCTCAGATCTCCACCTCTTGAGTAGCTAGAATTCCAGGTGTGAACAACTGGTGCCTGGCTACATGTTTGGTTTTGTAGAGTGTTGTATTTTAATTTTTTTTGTCAGTTGTAGGCCTGAACTCTGGGCCTGGGTGCTGTCCCTCAGCTCTTCAACTCAAGGCTAGCACTCTACCAGATGAGCCACAGCACCACTTCCGGCTTTTTCTGCTTATGTGGTGCTGAGGAATCGAACCCAGGGCCTCAAGCATGCAAGGCAAGCACTCTACCACTGAGCCACCTTCCCAGCCCCATTGTATTTTAATTTTTATTTCTCAGTACTAACTAACAATTCTCAGAAATGCTTTTAGAAATCCCAGCAGAATGCATCACAGTGGTTTCCGGTGCTTCTTTGCAGTGCTTTGTTACAGCCAATTTCTATTCCCTAGCAAGTATTTCAGGCCCTTCTTTCAACCTAGCCTTGTTTCATTGTGAGGACTCTGTTACAGCATCTAACTTTAATAGCAGTGAACCTCACAATTTGTCCAAGGGGAAACATATTTTTCACTCCTTTTCTTTCATTGTTTCTTAACTCCTTTAAATTCTTTAACTCCTTAAATTCTTTTCTTATGTCTGAGCCCTCCTGTCACTTTGTTTTATTTTTGGTCATGGGGCTTAAACTCAGGGCCTAGGCGCTGTGTCTGAGCTTTTTCACTCAAAGCTTGCATTCTGCCACTTGAACCACAGTACCACTTGTGGTTTTCTGGTGACTAATTGGAGATAAAAGTCTCACGGACTTTCCTGCCTGAGCTTCCTTCAAACCATAATCCTCAGATCTCAGCCTCCTGAATAGCTAGGATTATAGTTGTGAGCCACCAGCAACCAGCCCT